GCAGCATTTCCTCACTTACGCTCAGTCTGAGTGTGTATAGATCAGCTTTTGCCCTTTCAGGCCAGGTTTCAGAACGGCATGAGACAAGTCAGATCTTGTCTTAATGGTCTGACGTTTTCCATTTGTTCTGTTTTTGCCAGAAGGCAGAAGCTGCTAAACACAACCACAACACAAACACAGACGAGGAGAGCACGGCTGATCTTATCAGGAAGGAGGGATGGACTTCAGTGATGGTTTTGCACCGAAACATGATGTTTATGATCACACTGTTCGTGAGGAATGTAAGAAGTGAGATCTTGTAATCAAATCATGTTTATTGTCATATCACATCTACACAGGTGCGAAAGTGAGTGAGAATTATAGGTGCAGAGCCCCCTTGTAGTACATAAATATATACAAAGATATATACAACACAAAAATATATGTATATATACACACAAATACACAATATACACATTAATATACACCAGTATCGCACAATTCCAATATACAGTTTGTACAGTAATATAAGTTATAAAATAAAAGTTATGATATGTACAGTTGTACAAATTGCCATATATGCAATATGTGAGTCTGAGGTAGATAGATGAGAAGCAGGTACACAGGGTATATATATATATATACATGGACCCTCACAGAGCAGGTACTATTTGGGTGGTGGATCATTCTCAGCACTGCAGTAACACTGACGTGGTGGTGGTGTGTTAGTGTGAGTTGTGCTGGTACGAGTGGATCAGACACAGCAGTGCTGCTGGAGTTTTAAACACTCACTGTCCACTCTATTAGACACTCCTACCTCGTCGGTCCACCTTGTAGATGTAAAGTCAGAGACGATAGCTCATCTGCTGCTGCACAGTTTGTGTTGGTCATCCTCTAGTCCTTCATCAGTGGTCACAGGACGCTGCCCACAGGACGCTGTTGGCTGGATGTTTTTGGTTCTTGGTCCAGCAGTGACACTGAGGTGTTTAAAAACTCCAGCAGCACTGCTGTGTCTGATCCACTCAGACCAGCGCAACACACACTAACACACCACCACCACGTCAGTGTTACTGCAGTGCTGAGAATGATCCACCACCCAAATAGTACCTGCTCTGTGAGGGTCCATGGGGGTCCTGACCACTGAAGAACAGGGTAAAAGGGGGCTAACAAAGTATCAGAGAAACAGATGGACTACAGTCTGTAACTGTAGAACTACAAAGTGCACCTATATAGTAAGTGGAGCTGATAAAATGGACAGTGAGCGTAGAAACAAGGAGGTGGTCAGAATGTTATGCCTGATCAGTGTAAATATAAATAAATAAATATATATATATATATATATATATACAGACACATATGCGGTGTTGGAGATCATCATGATGATGTACAGGAGTCTGTTTTGAATATTTACCTTAGTCATACTATTATTAGTAATAATAACAATAGTCACTGTAGTGCACTCTTTAAAAAGATGGTTCATCAAAGGTTCTTTAGTAAAGACAATGGTTCTATATAGACCCATGAACACTCATAGAACCATTTGCATGCTTAATTGGTTCTTTGCATAGTGAAATGGTTCTGCTTGATGGAGAATGTGCTGTATATATTCTATATAGCACCAAAAAGTGTTCTGCTATTGTTATGAGGGCAATCATCTAACAATAGAAGAACCCTTTTTGGTGCTGTATGGAAGCATTTTCAACAAGGTTCTACATAGAGCCATCCATAATAGTGTAGTGGTAATACTAGTGGTACACTCTTAAAAAAGATGGTGCTTCAAGGGTTCTTTAGTAAAGAAACTAGTTCTATATAGAACCATGAACACTCAAAGAACCCTCTGTATAGAACCATGAACACTCAAAGAACCCTTTGCATAATTACAACACATTCTTCATCAATGTGAAGAACCCTTTGATGATGCGAAGAACCCATTCATCATGCAATGGGTTCTTTGGGTGTTCATGTTTTTTTCTATACTAAAGAACCCTTGAAGAACCATCTTTTTTAACTGTGCAGACCATATATAATAGTATAGTAGTAATACTAGTGGTAGTGCAGTCTTAAAAAAAAGATGGTTCTTCAAGGGTTCTAATAAAATCAGTGGGTCTATATAGAACCAGGAACACTCAAAGAACCGTTTGTATGGTGAAATGGTTCCTCAGATTGATAAAGAATGTGTTGTTGATGGTTCTGTGTAGAACTTTTTGTAAAAGGGTTCTATATAGCACCAAAAAGGGTTCTTCCGTTCATAAGATTTTAAGCTTGTAACAGTAGAAGAACCCTTTTAGGCGCTATATAGAACCATAGAACCATAACTGAGTCTGTGTGCAGCTCTGCAGATGCGTTGATGCAGATCTGTGTTGTTGTGTTTCAGTAACAGGTCTGGGCTGAGTGTGATTGGTGGGTGGGGAGTGTGTGTGTGTGTGTGTGTGTCGGGGGGTGGGGGTTCGGGTGTGTTGTGGGGGGCGCTGTTGCTGATGGATGCGGGCTGACGGATCGGGGTTGGTCGCGAGGGGAGTGAAGAGAGCAGCTCCGTCCTCCTCGCGCTGCTCGCGGCCCTGGTCTGCTCTGCGCAGCCCCTCCCCTCTCTGCTCTCACCGCTTCGAGCCCAGTACACACCTTATTTATAACCCACCCGTGTTCCGGCAGACCACGCCCGCGGAGCTACGATTGGTTGGCAGAATCCCGCCTTCCTGCACGAGGACTGAGTAATTACATCCCACCTCCTGCTAGGATTGGTTAGTGGGCTTTTTTGGCTTTAATTAAGTTTATTAAGGAATTTTCAGATTAATATGTAAAGATACATACATTACAGACTGAATTAATTACAGTCTAATTACTTAAAGTTTCATCAGAAACCGTGAATGTTAATTATATTATGATTATATTATTATTAATTAATATAAAATATTAATGTTTTTAATTTGCAAACTGTTTATAAGCAGCTTCAGTACGCTAAAGATTCCTAAATGTATGGTTCTAAGAAAACTGCAGACTATAATAATACACAGCTCTCTGAAGAGTTTAGTGAGTCTTCAAATGGGCTGTCTGAGTTTTAGACCTCTATAGCGCCTCCCAGAAGAAAGTGGTGGGTAAAGATGATTAGATGAATGAGAGTAATGTGTAATTATTCTCTTTTTGCTGCTTAGGACAGCGCTGAGTATAAACAGAGTCAGATATTCCAATTATTCCAAATAAGCTTTACCGGTCCACAGCTCAAAACTAAAGAAGGTCATTTTGGACATCAAACTTGTCTGATTGACTCCATTCAGGATATTTGACAAATTTGTTGTAGTTAATTAATAACAGAAATAGAAGTAGTGAAAATAGTAGTAGTAATATCAGATGTAGTGGTAACACTAGTAATATCAGTAGTAATAGAAGTAGTAATAATTTTAGCAGCAGTAGAATTAATAGTAGTAGTAAAAGATTAGCAGTTATAGGAGTAAAGCTAGTAGTAATTGGATGAACTCAACATGAAAACATGGCTCTTAATATATATTTATAATATGTATTTTTATTTATTTATATAATATATTTATAATATAACAGTAAAGTAACAGGTATAGTAGTAATAGTTTTGAAGGTAGTAGTAGTAATAGTAATAGTAGTAGTAGTAGTAGTGGTGGTGGTAGTACCAGAAGTGGTAGTTATATTGGTAAAGGTAGTAGTAGTAAGAGTGATAGTAATGGTAATAGTGTTAGTAGTGACAGAAGTAGCAGTTATAGTATAGTAGTAGTAATAGTAGTAGTAGTAGTAGTAACAGAAGTAGTAGTTATATTAGTAAAGGAGTAGTAGTAATAGTCGTAGTAGTAGTAGTAGTAGTAGTAGTGGCGGTAGTACCAGAAGTGGTAGTTATATTAGTAAAGGTAGTAGTAGTAAGAGTGATAGTAATGGTAATAGTGTTAGTAGTAGTAACTGTAGTAGATGTGGTAGTAATAGTGTTAGTAGTGACAGAAGTAGCAGTTATAGTAAAGTAGTAGTAGTAGTAGTAGCAACAGAAGTAGTAGTTATATTAGTAAAGGTAGTAGTAGTGATAGATAGCAGTAGCAGTCAGAGTAGTAGTAATAGTAGTAGATGTGGTGTTTATGGTGTTAGTAGTAACAGAAGAATATTATTATACCACATCTACTACTCTTAACACTAGCTTTGATAGTATAACTACTATTTCTGTCTCTACTAACACTACTACTATCACATCTACTACAGTTAACTATTATCACTACTACTAATACTATTACTACTACTACCTCTATTAATTGCACCCAAATGGTTCTTTGGGTGTACATGGTTCTATATAGAACCATTGTCTTTACTATAGAAACCTCTTTTTTAAGACTGTACTACAATTACTACTAACTACTATCAGTGCTACTAACATTACGACTACTACATATATGTTGTATATGGATCTATGTAGCACCTTTTTGAAAATGGTTCTATGTGGCACCAAAAAGGGTTCTTCTGTTGGTTATGATGTCAAGCTTGAAACAAGAACAAGAACCCTTTTTGGTGCTATGTAGAACCATATAAACACGTTCTCCATTAGTCTGAACACCCATTTCATCACCATTTAAGCATGAAAATGTGTTCATGTTTCTGTACAGAACCAATCAGAGCGCAGGGGGCGGGGGTTTTCCGGAATACGGGTGGGAAAACAAAACGCGCCTCGACTCCGCCTCCGGTTTCCCACGAAGCTGGAGTGAACGGAGCGGCGCTCCTCCTCCTCCTCCTCCTCCTCCTGCTCCTCCCTGGGCGACTGAAGCTGCCGCACCCCGAGGAGCAGCAGACGGCATGCAGCCGTGGCCGGCGCTCTGCGCTCGCGCTCTCGGGCCCGCGCGCTTCTGAGCGAGACCGCGGCTTTGAATCCCCAAAAGGCGGCGAGGCAGCGGCGGCGCGCGCGCGCATGCGGATCTTTGCGGGGAAAGTTCGGTTCGACTCATCTGGCCGCGGAGGATGCGGAGTGGAGTGGAGCGCACGCGCCGCGCGGGCGCTGATCTGATCTGATGGCTCGCGCCACCATGCGGCTCCTGCTCCTCCTCCCCGCGGCGCTCCTCTTCTTCTTCTATGCGGGCCGCGCGCTCGGAGGAGCCCGAGATGGACACGGGCTGTCCGGCGTCGCGCGCTCCACCGCCAGAGACCTGAACGCGAGCTACTCGGAGCCGAGACGCCACGGCCACGCGCACCTGGGGTCAGAGCTGGACGTGGATTGGCGCTCGAGGAGACACAGCAGGAGGAGAAAGTTGGACACCGTCGGACACAGTCATGGTCACTACATGGAGCTGAGGAACGAGAGGCGCAAAAGAGGAACAAAGGAGCACCACAAGAAAGGGTTAAAGATCTCCAGGCTGGGGCAGAACCGAGGGGTTCCTCTGGCTGCAGATGCCAGGAACCCAGCTTCTTCATCTTCACCTTCTTCCACCCTTCTGGAACCCCTGCCCAAGCCCCTGGCCCTCACCTCCACAGACTTCCCCTTCGACCTGACCAGGCACGTCGAGTTTTACACCCAGCATGTGGACGACCCCTGGGACGCGACCCCCATGACCCCTCCGTACCCCGAGGACGAGGAGAAGGAGTACTTCCCCAACCCCTTCTACCCCATCACCAGCGAGACGTACGGCGCCTACGCCATCACCTGCTTCTCGCTGCTCATCTTCGTGGTGGGCGTGACGGCCAACGTGGCCATCATGTGCGTGGTCTGCCACAACTACTACATGAGGAGCATCTCCAACGCCCTCCTGGCCAACCTGGCCGTCTGGGACCTCGCCATGCTCCTGTTCTGCCTGCCACTGGTCGTGTTCCACGAGCTGACCAAAACCTGGCTCCTGGGCCAGTTCACCTGTAAGGTTGTCCCTTACATCGAGGTAATTCCATCACGTTCTGACATCCTGGAAACACCTGTGAATAAGCGATGATTCAGGGCTGGGCCAGAGTTGCATTTGTGATGATTTTCTATAAAAACTGATTTTTTATCAAAACTGCTGCACAAGACATCGATAAGATGTTAACAAAGTCATTCAGAGCGGTTTGGTGCAAAATGCTCCAGTCTAGAGTCAGAACTGTTCACAGTGGTGGTGATAGGAACCAGACGTCCACCTCTAAAAGCTCCCTCACAGAAAGTTACTACATGAAACGGTTATGAATATCTTTGAGTTTTGGCCTAAAACTCATGTTTAAACTCCATTTGTGGTGAAGGGGTACATGCTGAGCATTGTGAGGCAAAATACGCTGCAAAAAATGATATTTTAGTGAAAACATCCTAAATGTAGTCAACATATCACGGTTGTTGGAAGAAAACCTCGTATCTCCAAAATGGTAACTTTACAGGAGAAGGAAAAAACATACATTACTTTTAATGTAAGTCAATGGAACCAGAATTTTTTCCAAGTCATTTTGGGTCGTTTCTTTTAGTCCATTCATCATGAAATTTACACACAATGTAAAGGGTAACAGGTATTTTCAAAGTATGTCAAAAACTGAAAAACGTCAAAAATGGAGATACAAGATTTTCTTCCGACAACACCCATATCTAATATTTCTTGTTGTGAGATGATTGTAAGAATATTATAAGACTCTTTAACTTATTTCTAGACATTTTCTACTTGTTTTAAGTCATTTTATCTTATAAAAGTGCCTTATTCCATTGACAGATCATTTGAGGATGAATGAATTGATTAATTTTGCTTGTTTCAAGAAATAATGCTTAAAACAAGTAAAATGATCTTCCAATGGAGTAAAACACTTTCATAAGAAAAAGGATATTTTGGTATATCAAAATATCTAATTGTGATCTTTTTGACCAATAGATTATGATTTGAATTGCAGTTGTTTATAACTGAGGTATAAATTGGGTTATGGGCCCTTTTTTTGTCCAAGAAGACCAGTGATTCATTTTTTGGCTTGAGACTTTGAATCTTAACAAAGCGTGCCAGTTATTTGTGGTTGTGATGTCACAGAAGTTCACAAGCTCCATGTTATTAGGTAAAATTTTTCTACTTAAAACTTGCATCATATCAACACTGTTGATAAAAAACTGTAAGACTATAACAAAAACTGCAGCTCTTGCAATTTGCAATTTCAATAAAAACGATTAATCTTCCAGCCCTTCTTAAAAAAGGTAAAAATGTCTTGGAATAAGTTAAATAATCAGAATATTCTCATAATGAGAAATCTTAGATATATTAACTACATTTAAGATGTTTTCATCTGCTAAGATATCATTTTTTGCAGTGTGATCCCCAAAGAAAACGTATTATTTCAGATTTTCCACTATTTTCCATCATCAACATTCCATATAAACTCAGAAGACTCGTGTAGGTTCACTGGTGGTTCTGATAGTAAATAAAATGTCTATATCTGTGTTGTAGTCATGGCGACCCCTGGTTCCTATCACCACCACTGTAAAGACACCTGAACCATTTCACACCAAACCACTCTGAATCTCTCTGTTTACACCTCACACACTGAATAACAGAAATTTTGAAAAATCCGTGGATTTCCCTTTTAATTTGGCTACAGAGGCCTCATTTATGAAAATTCAGATTTTCATTCTAAATTTGTTTTCTACATTTGCATAATGGTCTATAAAAACACAATGCTCAGTGTTCAGTAACGCAAGCCTTGGGCTGATCACTGACATTAACTGATATATCACATTAGTTTAAAAAAGTGCGAATATTACACAGATAATCGTTCTTTTATTCTCTTTCATGTTCCACGTGGATTTTTATAGCTTCACCTTTGTTTAGCCATAATCTTTTTACAATCATTCTAATCTACACACTTAATAAGATGGTATTTTAAGGGTTCTTTAGTAAAGAAAATGCTCCTATATAGAACTATGACCACTCAAAGAATGCTTTGCATGATTGTGTTTCTTTGCATGGTGAAATGGTTCTTCACATTGATGGAGAATGTGCTGTAGATGGTTCTACATAGAACCTTTTTGAAAAGGGTTCTACATAGCACCGAAAAGTGTTCTTCTATCATTATGATATAAGGCTTCTACACAACAGAAGAACCTTTTTGGGTGCTATATAGAATCCTTTTCAAAAAGGTTCCATGTAGAACCATCTACAGCACGTTCTCCATCAATCTAAAGAACGCTTTCACCTTGCATAGAATCATTTAATAATGCAAAGGATTCTTTGAGAGTTCATGGTTCTATATAGAACCATTTTCTTTACTAAAGAACCGTTTAAGATTCATCTTTTTTAAAAGTGTGCACTATTATATATGGTTCTATATAGAACTTTTTAAAAATGGTTCCATATAGCACCAAAAAGGGTTCTTCTTTTGTTGTGAGGTTGCCTTTAAAACAATAGCAGGGCCCTTTTTTCTGCTATATAGAACCATCTTCAACACTTTCTCCATCAAGAAAAACATTTCGCCATGAAAAGAACTATTTAAGCAAGCAAATGGTTCTTTGAGTGTTCATGGTTCTATATGGAACCATTTTCCCTACTAAAGAACCCTTGAAGAACCATCTTTTGTAAGTGTGTATAGTTCAAAATCGTGTGATAGAAAAGATCGCTTTTAATTACAGGATCTACAAACAGAACATCTCCAACTAATGAGCTACAGACAGACTGAAGACACATGGAATGATTACAGTGTAGATTTTGTCCAGAAGGAGGCGCCAGTTGGGCAACTTGTAGTCTGAAACCAAGCTAATTTGGAGAACGACTGGAAGTTAGCAGTTTTGTACGCCGTGTGTTTTGAATATAGTTGTCATTATAAGTTAGTGGTGGACGATATATTGGTTTGTCTGATATTGATTTGTACTGGTTAAAACTCTTTTTAAGGTATTAGTTTTGTCATTGTCTGCAAATAAATGCAGAAAACATGACGTACAAACAGTGCAGAACACATTGACTCCCTCACATCTAGTGAGCAGCATTCTGAGGTCAGTTAGTCCAGTTTATTGTCAAACAAACTCGCCTGCATGTCAAATCCTCTGTCTCTATATCTGTTTGTGTATGTTTGTGATGATCCAGCACAGAAATCCAGTTCAAACACTTCCTGAATCTGTAGAGTCGCCCTTTCCATTCCATCTTATCTCGAGATCATACGAGACTCACATCCGGAGATATGAGCCTATGAAGAGGGGCTGAGATACACGTCATCTGCCTCTCACCGTGTGGAACTGGTGGATTCGTGTGTCCGTCTACATTCTGTGTGAAACTGACCAATGGACACTCAGGAAATCACTAAGGACTGACCGTCACGCCGGAAACCCTTCATTCTTCATTCAGTCCACATCGGAGACTCATGTGAAACGGCGTGCAGAGAGTTTACAGCTGCTGAAGCTGCTGCAGCGGTTTTGGAAAGTAGTGATGAAGATAACGGAGCATTTAGATATGAAACAGATGAGGATCGTGATATATGAAGAGCCTTTAGAGGAGAGTTTAAGTAGAGATGAACAAATCGAGGACATGAGCTCAGACCACAGAGGGTTAAGGGTATTTCCGAATTCTTGAGTCCGTCCTCAGGATAGATTCTGGCTTCGTTTGGGGGAGGGGCTCATTATTGCTAAGTTTGCTTTCACACACAAGAGTTCTATCCAAGCCGTGGATCAACTGCGTAATTCCTTACGTCACTTTTCTGCGTGCAGGTTTGCAGAACGGTCGGCAGCTTCATCCATTTGCTACCTTCTATTATTTTCCTTGGATACAATCACTGAAGCGGTGAAGAGCAGCTCTTTCTGTCCACAGCCGTCCTCTCCCCCATCACCACACTCGAAAAGGAAAGGGAAGTTAAGTTACAAAACGAACCAATCACACAGAACCACACCCAAGACCACCGATTTCAGGAGGACCAGAGATCGGTTCTCTGTTCGACTCCCGGGCTCAAAAGCAGCTTTCACACTTGACCAAATGTGCCGAAGTGGCCCTGGGTCAAGAAAAAAGCTCTGATGTGAAAACACTCTAAAATGATGTCAGACTCAGGAAAATGTACTTCACATGTACCTATTAAAGTAGAAGCGAGAGGAAGACGTCATGTCCTGCAACATTCTGAGATACAGTTCACATAAACCCACCGTCGATCATTTGCTCATATACCCGTCTGAACAGCTTGTTAATGTGAGCTTTACTGCCGTCTATCCTGCTATTTTTAAGCCTTTTAAAGTTTGAAGCATAAACTTCGTCTCCTCTACAGACCCGTTTCTGCTCCCACCATGCAGAACGTTTAAACCACTGTTATGACGCAAACTGTCAGGTGGTCAAAACAGATCAGACGCTTGCAGATTAAAAGACTTACTTGAGGGTTGTTGACTATCACAAAGAGTGTAGTCATAATAGGTCAGGGTCAAAACCAGAGAGCACGATAACCAAAACAGAAGGGACATCAAGAGAAAATCCAGTAACCACACCAAGTTCAAAACCAAGAGATCCATAAGGTTCAGCAATCAAATCATAAAAGGGCAAACATGAAAAGACAATGTTGGAAATATAGGGTGATTCAAAAAGATTCATCTGATTTCAAAATGATTTATTTCACTTGTAAATCGTTACAGATCAGTGCAGTGAACTGTAAATGGTTTAAATGAGCATAAAGTTTATTATGTAATTCTACAAGGTCTCAATATGAATGCCATAGTTAAACTCATCCCATACTGGATTGAGCGTGTCGGGTGTCGCTGCACTCACGGCTCTTTCAGTGCGATTTCGGAGATCATCCAGTGTTGTGGAACCAACGCCGAACGCTCTGAGCTGTTGGAGCTTCACTGCCCACGAAAATCACACTGCACAGTTATGACGGATTCACTCTTATTGAAGTGGAGAACGCAGAACGCTTTCTGCTCAGGGGTCTCAACTCCTCTCAGACTGAAGGGAGCCAGTCAGAAACTCTATGACCCCCTCTT